ATTCATGATCTGGGCGGGAAGAGGAGAGAATGAGATGGAGCATGAGGAGCAACCAGCATACATGGCATGGCGAGGAAGGGAGGAAATGGGGTTGCGCAGCGGAGGAAAGGATGCACGGAAGGAGCAGGGGAGAAAGGAGCGGGAGAGAGGACAGAAGCCGGAGGAGCAGGAGGAAAAATGCACTGCAGCACGGCACCCCCAGGAGAGATTAGCTTGTCAGACTTCCGTGCTGCTGATCCAAGGTGGTGCGCTGTCAGTGGAAGGGGAGAAAGCTAAGACGGCTATTATAGACACTGGCGCGCAGAGCGTGATACTCGGAAAGGGGATAGCCGAAAAGCTGGGACTGTGGGCACCTGACAGGCATGTGGTGAAGGGGATGTTAGTGATGACAGCAGAAGGGGGGGAGTCGAAGTGGATGCCCTGTACGAGGACTCCAATAGAGCTGATGGTGCTGAAGGGGGAGAAGCATGAGACGCCGGTTAGAATCAGGTGCGGGATCTCAGAGTCAGAAGACTTTGACGTCCTGGTGGGCACAGAGATGATCTTTGCTTTGGGCATGACCATCTGCTTCTGGAGGGAGACAGTGGAGTTCAGAACCAGGTGGTGGAGGAAGGGTGAGCCACTGGGGCAGCTGCCGGTGCAGTTTGTCAGAACCGAGCCAAAAAGGGCCTACAGGGCAGATCTGAAGGAGGTGACAGCGAAGCAGGGGGCACAGAAGGCTGCGACAGGCAAAGGACAAGGTGAGGTGCCCAGGATGCGTTTCATGGACGAACCTAGCCAGCAGACCGATTGGCAGCAGCCCATTCGGCTGGTGGAGCTGTTCGGAGGAATCGGGGCGGGACTGGCAGCAGTGGTGAGAAATGGAATTGCAGTGAAGCAGTGGATTTACGTGGAGAAAGCACCGGAAGTGAGGAAAATGGCAGAGCATCAGGCGTGGGAGTTGCACAGAGAGTTCCCGAAGCTGTTGCAGGGAAAGGTGATCAAGGCAGCAATGAGCAGAGGAGTGAATGATGTCAGGGCCATCACGGAAGCTGAGGTAGCAAGCTGGGGGCACGTGGACCTATTGGTGGCAGGGTGGGAATGCCAAGGGGTATCATGGGCAGGGAAGGGCAAGGGTGAGCAAGACCTACGAACACGGCTGATGGAGGACCTGTTCAGAGTCATGGAGTGGGTGCAGGCTAGGCAAGGCAGAGTGGCCTACCTGCTGGAGCACTTGGATATGGAGGGAGACGTGAGAGAACCGATAAGACTAGTGAGGGAGAGAGTGACCAGACAGGTGGGAAAAGGAGTGAGCAGTGATGCGGCGCGGATGGGAGCATATGCGCACAGGCTCAGGATGTACTGGCAGAATGTGGTACCAGTAGAAGATCTGCAGAAGGAAATAGAAGGGGTGCAGAGAGCTGGGGGAAGGAAGCTGAGCGACATATTGGAGCCAGGAAGAACGCCAGCACCAGTGACCAAGAAGGGCTACAGCAGGCATTATCCCTGCAACCAGGTGGGACAGGAAAGGCAGGCACTGCCTACCCTGGTGTCATATGAGGGGGCAGCAGGCTATCAGATGGATGGGAAGCAGCCGGGCCCAGGATTGGTGTATGACCACAGAAAGGAACGGTGGGAGGAGCCCACGGCCTTGGAAAGGGAGCTGGCCATGGGGTACAAGGAGAACGCGACAGCAGCCTCGGGCGTGAGTGAGAAGGAACGGAGACGGGCATTGGGGAATGCCATGGATGGGTACATGTTGAGGTGGTTGGTGCAGCGGATGTGGAAGGAGACAGTGCTGCACTGGGGACTGAAGGAGGGAGAGAACACAGTGGCAACGGTGAGGCACGGGGTGTGGGCCTGCCTGCAGAAACAGGAGCCAGAGTGGAAGATAGGTGAGAGCATGAGCGAAGAAGGAAAGGCAGCGATGCGGGCACTGCTGGCTAGGCACCTGAAGGGCTTCGCCTTCACACTGCTGGAGTTGGGGAAGTGCAAGATCAAGGAGATGGCACTGAAATTGAGTAGTGACGAGCCGGTGTTCCACCGCAGGAGGAAGATGCCACCAGGGGATGAAGTGATCTGCAGGGAGAAAATAAAGGAGTTACTGGAAGCCGGACTGATCAGGAGGTCAGAGTCAGAATACGCTGCCCCAACCGTGGTGGCAGCCAGGAAGGACTTGACAGGCGAGGTGTTGAGTAGGAGGATGTGCGGGGACTACAGGGATCTCAACAGAATTACAGTGCCAGATAGATACCCAATGCCAATAGCGGAGGAGCTCTTTGACAAGCTGGCTGACGGGGTGTTCTTCACGACGCTGGACCTGCGACAGGGGTTCAATCAAATCAAGATCAGAGAGGAGGATGTGAAGAAAACGGCTTTCCACGGACCGGATGGGCTGTACGAGTGGCTTTACATGCCCTTCGGGCTGAGGAACGCCTCGGCGGTGTTTCAGAGAGTCATGGACGCAGTGCTGCGGGGAATAGTGCACGCGGCGTGCTATATTGATGATGTCGTGATCTTCAGCTTGAGCGAACAACAGCACCTGGAGGACGTGGAGAGGACCTTGACCGCCATAGAAGGGGCAGGGCTCACCTGCCATCCCAACAAGTGCAGGTGGGGGGAGCGGACAGTGCAGTATCTTGGGTATGAGGTCACAGGGGGGCAGATTGGCATCCAGCAAGCGAAGGTGCAAGTGCTGAGCAGGCTGAGGGAACCAAGAGACAAGTCAGGGTTGCGTGCGGAGAGAGTGGCTCAGGCAACCGAAGGAGCTAAGGGACGAAGAACATGAGGACTAAGGCAGATGATGAGGGTAGAGCTGTATCTCCGACATTCCAAACCTCGAAAAAACCCTTAGTCGTAAACTAGTTTCAGCCAAACGGGACAGAACCCTGCTAAGCATTCATCAGTGCTGCTTTCCAGGTTCAAGCCATGGTGGCCAGGCCAGGCACGGCTATTTCAGATGAAAAGTTTGAAAAGCAAGCCAGCAAAGGCAAGCCAGACCAGCTCCAGCCAAGACCAGGCTAGGCCAGGCCAGGTTAAGCCAAGCCAAGATAGGTTAGGAAAGATCAGGACAAGCCTCCAAACCCAGCCAAGAAAATCCAGGCCAAACTAGGCTAGACCAGGGCATGCCACGTCCAACCAAGGCAAGCCAAGCTCAGCCATGCCATGCCAAGCCGGGCTAGGGAAGGCCAGGCCAATCCAATTTACCAAGCCAAGCAGCCAGGCCCGGTCAATCCAAGAAAGGAAAAGCCAAGCCAAGACAAGCCATGCCAAGTTAGGGTATGCTAGGCAAGTTGAAGCCACGCCTGGCTATGCCAAGGCAAGCCAAATCCCAGCCAGGCAAGGTCCGGCCAAATTCAAGGCTATTCAAGCAGAGCCGAGCAATTCTGTAAGTCCCGAGCCATCTCTGTGAAATGCAGTCGCGCATCCCTTTGGGGTCTCCAGGAAGGGGGGTCTCCACGAAGGGGGGTCTTGGAGATGATCTTTCGCCTCGTCTTCCAACAATCCAAGATCTGCCTTTTGAGTCGACTCAAAAGTCAGCTTGGGGTCTCCAGGAAGGGGGGTCTCCAGGAAGGGGGGTCTCCAGGAAGGGGGGTCTTAAAGATGATCGTTCGCCTCTTCCAAGAATCCAAGATCTGTCGCTACCATTCAAAGCCCTCGTTCTGTCGCGGTTGTTTCGAAGAGGGTTGGCCTTTGAGCACGATCCATCCGCATGGCATTTACTTGCTGCTTCTTACCAGAGACATTGTTGCCACCCCTGGTTACTGTTACTTTAGCAAGATTTCCAGCTATCATGACATAGACCAAGCCAGGCCGAACCATGTCCAACCAAGTCATTCAAGTCAGGCCACGCCATGCCAAGGTCATGCCAACCCAGGCTAGCCCAGGCTTACCCAGGCTAACCCAACCATACAGCAAATATTGGCTAAGTCAAGCCAAGCCATGCCAACCCAGGCTAGACTAGACCAAGCCATGCCATACCAGACCAGGCTAGCCAAGCCAAGCCAAGCCAAGCCAAGCGAAGCCAAGCCAAGCCAAGACAAGCCAAGCCAAGACAAGCCAAGACAAGCCATGCCATTCCATGACAAGCCAAGCCAAGCCAAGCCAATCCAAGCCAAGCCACGGCAAGCCAGGCCTGACTAAGCCATACCGGATCAAATCAGCCAAGCTAAGCCAAGCCAAGCCAGGCCATACGTGTATAGGCGTAACCATATGTAGCCGTGCCAGTAAAGCGAGCCTAAGCTAGTCAAGCTATTCAAGCTAGTCAAGCTAGTCAAGCTAGTCAAGCTAGTCAAGCTAGTCAAGCTAGTCAAGCTAGTCAAGTCAATATAAGCCATGCCAAGCCGAGCCAATCCAAGCCATTACAAACCAGATCAGGGTAGGCTATTCCATGCCAAACCATGTCCAGCCACACCAACCAAACCAAGCTAGTCAAGCTAGTCAAGTCAATATAAGCGAGCCAAACAAATCTGAGCCAAGCCTAGCCAAGCCAAGCCTAGACAGCGGTCATGCTAGGACAATCCAAGCCATTCCTGGTCAGGACAGGCCAGGAAAATAAAAAAGTGATGGTCCCCAATCTTCTTCCTTTGGCCCTCATCGCCCCACCCTTTGCAGAAACTTTTGAGGAACCTACACAGAGGACTTTGCTGTTGAATGCTTTTATACCTGCAGATCTGACAGGGGAACACTGGAGGGGGCTGAGGCGAGGAGAGTTGGACGGGGGGTTTGAGGAAGCTTAGGGAGGGTGTGGGCAGGTCGAGGGAACAGAGGGGGTGGATGCTTGGCTATAAGGGACGAAAGAGTAGCTATAGGGGACGGAAGAGAATTTAGAGTGGAGGAATAGAGAGAGAATTACAGATAAATCAAATGGAACAAAATCAAAATATTTTTGCGTCGACTAGTAATTGCATGTCGAGTTGGTGCTGCGTCACGTTCAATGATTCAAAGCCTACGCAACACGTATTTTAGAAAGTTTGTTGCGAATCAGTTGAAAATTTGAGATCCGGAAACATCAAATATACATGATTATTAAAACGTTAGATATTTTCCCAGTGTCTCTCCCATTGGTGCAGATAGCAGGAGGGCACTGCTACCTGCTCGGGTTGACCTGCGCCAACGAGCCTCACGGCAGGTGAGCACACATAGTAGTAATGTGAGTGATAAGCTTAGTGACGCGATAGTGTCTCTCCCAGTGGTGCATTTTGCAGGAGGCACTGCTACCTGCTCGGGTTGACCTGCGCCAACGAGCCTCACGGCAGGTCAGGCTAGTGCTCAGTTCAGTGCTGTGGTGAGCGTGAGACCAGTGGTGCAGATAGCAGGAGGACACTGTTACCTGCTCGGGTTGACTTGCGCCAAGGAGCCCCACGGCAGGTGAGGCTCGTGATACTCCCAGTGGTGTCCTGTGGTGAGATCAGTGGTGAAGATAGCAGGGGGGCGCTGGTAACTGCTGGGATTGACTTGTGCCAACGAGCCTTATGGCATTTGAGCCTAGTGATTCGCGCAGTGGTGTGATGAGCCGTGGACAGAATGGTATTGGCCATGGTACAGAACGGTGCAGATAGCAAGCAGGAGGGGCACTGCTGCTTGCTCGTGTTGACTTCTCTGCCATGTCCTGTGACCTGTCATCCATGTGTGCTCGGCTGAATGCTAGTGCTCGGTTGAATGCTAGTGCTCGGCTGAATGCTAGTGCTCGGCTGAATGCTAGTGCTCGGCTGAATGCTAGTGCAACAACATCAGCTGAATTATTGATCGAAGATGGGCTTAAAGAGAACGGTGCTTCTTAGTTGGTGTTTGGAAAATGTGTGTAGTGGTCACACTTGTATTAGGACGGAGTTTTGTGTAAGCTTCCCAATTCTCCAAGTTATTACTACGCTGCACTACAGGATGGGAAGCTGTTCGTTTCGTTGATAAGCTAGGTTATTTGTCTCCCACCAGTTTCCTTCCTTCTCTCTCTTCTCCCCTCCTTTCCTCAGGTCTGTCTGGTCCATTGGCTGTGGTCTGGGCGGCAAGCTAGGCCACGGCACAAAGTACGACGAACGCCGCCCGAAAGAGATCGCACACTTTAAAACCCTAGAGTTCACCCCCACAGCCGTTGCTGCAGGCGCATGGCATGCTGCTGCTGTTGCTGCTGACGGGAGAGTTGCCACGTGGGGGTGGGGCAGGCATGGGTGCCTGGGGCATGGGAAGGACCAGTGTGAAACGCTGCCCAGGGTTATTGAGAGCTTGTGTAAAACGGAGGAGGAGGGGGGTAGGAGTAGTGGGGTGAGTGGAAGGGGCGGTGTTGGCGTTGGTGCTAATGATGCTGCTGGTTCTGGTGGTGCTGCCTCTACCTCTGCTTCTGCTGCTTCTCCCTCTGCTGCTGCTGTTTCTCCATCTGGAGCTGGGGCGGGTTTCAGCAAGGATGACTCGCACGGTTCACGTCGCAAGCTCCGTCCGGCTGTGAAAGCATGCCACGTGGCAGCAGGGGATTACACGACGTTTGTGGTGGGGGAGGGCGGCGAGGTGTGGTCGTTTGGGAGCGCGGAGAGCGCGTGTTTGGGGCATGGGGGCGGGTGGGAGAGGGAGGAAGAGGAGGAAGGCGAAGAGATCGATGATGTTGATCTGCACGTTATCGTGGTGAGTAGTGTGGTGGGTGTAGGGTCATGGGTCATGGGTCATGGCAGAAGGAGAGTACGAAGAAGACGGGGAGGTGGACGATGCGGACTTGCATGACATCGTGGTGGGTGCTTTTCTTTCTTTCTTTCTTTCTTCCTTCCTTTCCTTCTTTCTTCCTTCCTTTCCTTCTTTCTTTCCTTCTTTCTTTCTTTTATAGGAAATATGGATCCATGCTGTTTTGCATGAACGCGTTTGAAGAAGAGTTTTGAGACGTCTCAAAACCCTTCTTCAAAAATATGGATCCATGCTGTTTTGCATGAACGCGTGAACGCGTTTGAAGAAGAGTGTTGAGACGTCTCAAAACCCTTCTTAAAAAGTATGGATCCGTGCTGTTTTGCATGAACGCGTTTGACCACCTCCCTGAAGTGCCTGTTTTCGCTGTTTGCCACAAACAATGGCCTCTTCTCTTCTTCCCCCCCCCCCCCCCCCCCCCCTCACCACACCAGCTGCGGCAGCACCGGAGGCGCAACCGGGATGTGATGCAGCCCAGGCGGATGTCTCTGAGCTGCTCATTCCCCTGCTTCTCTTACCCCTCCTGCATTCCCTCTCCCTTACACTGCCCACTTCCCCCACATCCTCCCAGCTGCGGCAGCACCGGAGGCGCAACCGGGATGTGATGCAGCCCAGGCGGGTGTCTCTGCTGGAGGAGCGAGCTACCCGCTTCTCTTACCCCTCTTGCTCTTCCCTCTCCCTTACACTGCCCACTCCCCCCACATTCTCCCAGCTGCGGCAGCACCGGAGGCGCAACCGGGATGTGATGCAGCCCAGGCGGGTGTCTCTACTGGAGGAGCGAGCTGCCCACCCCCCGGCTCCTCTTCCCACTGCCCCGGCTCCTCTTCCCACTGCCCCGGCTCCTGCTCCTGCTGCTCCTGCTGCTCCTGCCGCTCCTGCTGCTCCTGCTGCTCCTGCCGCTCCTGCCGCTCCTGCTGCTCCTGCTGCTCCTGGTGCTCCTGCTGATGCTGCTGGTGCTGATGCTGCTGATGATTCTGCAGCACTTGCGTCTACTGCCAACCTGATTGCTCTCCCTGCTGCTGCCACCCCTCTTGCTGCTGCAACTCCTACTGCTGCCCCTCGCTCAGACCCTACGCTGCTAGGCGGGGGACCTGGCAGTGCAAGGGCGGGTGTGAGAGGGGTGTTCACGTGGGGCAGTCTGCCTGCTGCTGCCACTGGGGGACGAGGAATCGACCCTGCAACGATTCCTGCTCCTGCTGTTGACGCTGCACCTGCTGCTGCTACTGCGGCTGCTGCTGCTACTGCCACTGCTGCTGCTGCTGCTACTGCCACTGCTGCTGCTACTGCCACTGCTGCTGCTGCTACTGCCACTGCTGCTGCTACTGCTGCTGATCGATCTGGTCCTTCTGGTGCCGTCACTCCTGAAACACCGCTCTTGTCTGTGGTTACCAGTAGCTCTGGGAACGGTAGTGGCAGTTTGAGTGGTAGCGATGCGAGTGGGAGTGGCAGAAGTGATGCCATGGCTGTGAGCTTGAGTGACTGGATGAGCAGTATTGTCAGTAGTAGTGTTGGTAGCAGCAACGTTGCCAGCAGCAGCAGCAGCTCCGGCCTTAATAGCCCCGGCGGCAACAGCAGCAGCAACAACACCAACACCAACATCAGCAACAGCAATGGAAACGGCATGAGGAGCACCGGCAATGCTACAGGCGGTAGCAGCAGCAGCAGAAGGGGTACGGTGGTGCAGATAAGTACGTCGAATGTCGACCACCTTGACGCTCACATGCTGGCGTTGACCAGTGATGGCAGGGTGCTGGCGTGTGGGGGCGGGAGTAAGGGGCAGCTGGGGGCGCCCCCTGCTGCAGGGGATACATCCTTCCCTCAGTTTGTAAAGGGGTTGGTTCTGTGAGTGGCTTGTACTGGATGAGAAGGGCTGACCTGCGATGACCGGCGTTGACCAGCGATGAGAGGGCGCTGGCATGTGTGGTTGGGAGTAAGAGGCAGCTGGGGGCGCCCCTTGCTGCAGGAAACACGTCCTTCCCCCAGTTTGTGAAAGTTCTGGTTCTATGAGGGTCTTGGGCTGACTGGGCGCTGGCGTTGACCAGCATTGACCAGCATTGACCAGCGACGGGGTTGCTGAGATGTGTTGCTGGCACTTGGTGCGGTGCTAATTCTGACCAGCATTGAGCAGAGATTTTAGGGGACAGGTGTGTGTGTGGCGAGGCACAGACAGCCACAGGAAGTTCAGGTAGAACCCCTGTGAAGAGATGGTGCGGATGGTGTGTGACATGGAAGATGAATGATAGGGAGGATGGGCGGCAGGGAGGATGGGCAGCAGGGAGGTTGGGCGGCAGGGAGGTTGGGCGGCAGGGAGGATTACATGGGGATTGGCAGGCCCTGTAGTCCTCTCCTGTGGGCAGTGGATGTAAGACTGTAAGGTGGTATGGTGTTGCGTATAAGGTGGTAAGGTGGTTCATAAAGGGTTGGGGTACAGGGTGGTGGTAAAGAGTGTGAGAGGTGAAGGTACACAACGTTTTAGAAGGTGATGGGGACAATGGTTGGCAGGGAGGATGGGCGGCAGGGGAGGGTGGTTTTCAGAGAGTTAAGGGGTACAGGCCGGTGGGTGGTGGTAAAAACGATGGGATAGGTGGAGGTACGTAACGTTTTGTATAATTTGTGAGTTTGTACAGGAAGCACGGGGATGTGAAGAATTGAAGACTCGAGCAAGGAGCTCTTGAGTGAGAGTGGTGACTCATAATTGTCTCTCTGTACTGTAGTGTAGTGTGCATATTTTGGTGGTGATTGAATATAAACAAAATAGTATAGCCAATGCATAGAACGTTGAAGGGTCGAAGTTAGTAGTGGCAGGGTTATCGCCAGCATGAGAAGGCCTTCAGTAGTTGAAACAGGCGGGACTTTAACTTGTAAATATGTATTCGGTGGTAAATGCTTTTGTGAGGTTAGATAGACAGACAAACATATGATCACGTGGAGACGCGTGTCTTCAGAAACAAGGCATTGATGTGTAATACCAAAAATTGTCCGCAGGGCATAAATTGCGATTGGGTATTCAGTCCAATGCCTGTTGTTCAATGAAACTCTTGATGTTGGTTAGCATATATGCATCGTTTTGCTACTTGTATTAGAAGCAATTTCTAATGCATAACGTACTCGATTTGGACTAGGGATATGCAGAATAGGTGATACACCCATACTGAATTTCGGACTTCCTCGAGGAGATCGAGCCGCGATTTTGTGGGTTCGGGGCAGGTCCCGAATGTACTTCTGAATGCGGCTCAGCGCTTTATTGTACGATTTAGAGCAGTCTATTTAATCGTACACTGGAAAACGTGTTTTCCACCCCCTGCATCGAACACCTTCCAGGAAATCGAGTCGCGAAACCATTGGACATTGACATTTCGGGGAAATGCTTTCTCCCTGTGCCGAGAAGAAAAGAAAGGAAAAGAATCGTGACATTCATGAAACAAACACACGTCCCCAGCACTGCAAGTGTTTGAGCACCCATCCTCAGAGGTATAAATGACTACTCTCATCGCTTCTTAGTATCAGCATTCCTTCCTCCCTCGGTCGTCACCCATCCTGTTCGCACCTGTTTTAAATCCCGTTTCTGATCACTCCACGTCCGCATTTAACAGTATTCATATATATCCCTGTTAATGTTTCCGCCTTGAAGAACCCCAGCCTCTCCAACAGCCCGTCTAAATGGCAAAACTCACGGGAAACGTCTCCCTGCTGCTCATTGTCCTCTCCCTCGTCTGCCTCTCGCCTCTCCCTCTCGCATCCGCCGGTGCGCCGCTTACTAGTAAGCAACGCATTGCGCGCACGCCCCGGGCGCACGAAGAGCACCGCCGTCAGCGCCAGCTGACCGACATTGTCGGCCGTGGCGCGACCACGCGTGTGCACACGTCTGAAGATCCAAGCGCTCCAATAACATACGGAGGAGGGCCTGTGATGACCGGAAACCCGTCCATCAACGTGTACATCATCTACTACGGCAGCTGGCCGGCAGGATCGGGGCAGAAAATAATCGAGAATTTCATCAGATCGCTGAGCGCGGACTCGCAGCGGCAGGGGAGTCCCGCGGATCCCAAGGTGAAGCGCTGGTGGGCGATCAGCGCGGCGTACACGCAGGAGGAAGAGGACGGCACAAAGACGAACGTTAGGAAGGTATGTTGCACATTTGCCACTACTCCCTCCCATAACTTTGCCACAACACCCCTCCCATAAAGCGCCTCGTCTCTCTCTATCAACTTAATGAAATGCAAATTATTTTGCATTCGTTTCATTCCAGGTGCGCCTCGCCAGGACTGTCCGTGACAACTACTCGGCGGGAAAGGATTTTGGCAAAGACACGGTTTGGGAAGGTACGCAGCACGGCAAAACCATTTCGCGGCCTCTTCCAGCATTTCGCAGCATTCCACCACTCCACCTCTTCCAGCATGATGATACCTGCCGTTGAGCAACTATGCACTGCCGTAAGCAAGTCAGGATACGTTTCTGTCACAATCTGAACTATTAAAAAGCCCTCCTCTTGTTGCAGTTCTTTCCAACAAGATTGGCGCTGGAAAGCCGTTTCCGTACGACGCGAGTGGCATGATCTACCTGCTTCTTCCCAGCAAGAATGTCACCGTCCCGGGTTTCTGTACCGAGTATATGGGGTGGCACAGCATGGACTACATCGATTCCGAATCGCCGGTTGTATTCTCGTCATCCCAAAAATGCATGGAAGCTAAACCTACTTCGAAGCTAATTGGTAGTTACTTTGTGGTTGGTGTTACTGGCGAACATACTGAATCACGGGATGCGAGGCTTGGGGCCTCCCGAACGTAAACCTTCTGGAAAGTTACTTGCAGGCTGGAACGAATGTGTTATCGGCGAAAGGCCCGATCAGCTGGGAAGTCTCACGAGAAGGTGTAACTCAGCATGAGCGAACGGCTTCGTCGCATTTCATTTGTTCGTGATTTCTATCAGCAGTGATTGCGATCGTTTTCATTGGTTGAAATCAATGTAGGTTGACGGCCGCGCCTAATCACAGCATTTCGCGCGTAATAGTGTCAGTCGGCTCTGGCGTTTTGTTATTAGTGTTGGGTTTGGGAGAGAATAGCTCATGTCAGTTGATGTCAAATCCCTCGCGTTATCTCAGCCGTCCTATATTCGACAGGTGTTTGAAATTTGAGAGTTTGCTCCACACATTTCGGAATGTACATGGTCACGTGGACGTTCAGACGAACGCCACTTTGGCAAGAAAGTAGTGGTGAATAACTTACCACAATTCGTAACAGTTACGTTGTTTCTTGTCGCGTTACATTTGACAGTTGGTGCACTTCCATATAGGCATATATCAAAATGTAAATCATAACCTACAAATGAAATATTCATTTTGTATTACTATGAATTGGTATTTAGAAATTAGATACTGGTTATAATTTTTATTGGTAATTAGATATTATTAAAAGCTAATTACAAATTAGGTCTAAAAACAACAATTAGCAGAAACTACAAACACGTGCACAAAAGGACACACTCACACAAACTACAGCAAACTACCTAGATTTGGGCCGACACACACACACTTGCACTCTACGCGTTAGGCACTCATACACTGCAACCGTCTTAACATTAGGGGCCCTGCAATCCCGGCAGCCCCTCGCAACTGATGAAGACCCTCTGCGTTGCCTCGTTAAACTTCCACGCTTTGTACTCAGGCTGCCACCAAGGACCCGTCGCAGGAGTCCGGTTCTGAACAGCAAAATCTACGGCGTTGTGCACGTTGGAATGGTAGATCGCAAGAGCACGCTTGTTGTCAACTGAGCTGCGCGACATCTCTTCGTTCTTCAGGAGCTATTTCAACCTGCAGCACCAATAAGGGGATCCTTAGAGCAACGACAGAAATGGCAAACATTCTCATGCATGCTTAAAATATTTACATACCCCTAGCAGGAAGAAGGCGATCTGCTTGAAACGGAGGACTAAGACGGCATGCCCCGGCCTCTCAAACGAGTGGAAAATCGCAAGGGTGAAAAAGTTAGAGGCGAAAGGCATCCCCAGTCGATTATGATGCCACGTCAACAAGTCCCACGAAAGAGCACCTGTAGGGTGCGGAAGGTTGGAAGGGTGTGGGTGTTGAGGTCAGGATGGGAGAGAGTTGTGAAATCAATTGAATGTTCATTGCATCCCACGCCCACAGCAGTGCAGCGGGCTGCCTGCGGGGGGGATGGTGAGCACAGGCATGTGGGCGGTGGGTGGGGAATCAAGTGGTGGGAGGGGAGTGTTTGAATCATTGTGGCCTTGCATCCCACGCCCACAACAATGCAACAAGCTGCCTGCAGCATACGGTGAGCACAGGCAGTGAGCACAAAGGGGTGGGATCCAGTTGTGGGAGGGGGGTTTACTCCACCTAGCATCTCACGCCCACAGCAGTGCACCGGGCTGCTTGCAGGGGGATGGTCAGCACAGACAGTGGGAATTGGGTGGGGATCAATTGGTGGGAGGGGAGTTTAACTAAAGGCACGCTGCCTTGCATCCCACGGCCACAGCAGAGCACCGGGCTGCCTGCATGGGGATGGTGAGCACAGGCAGTGGGACTTGGGTGGGGATCAATTGGTGGGAGGGGAGTTTAACTAAGGGCACGCCGCATTGCATCCCACGGCCACAGCAGAGAACCGGGCTGCCTGCATGGGGATGGTGAGCACAGGCAGTGGGAATTGGGTGGGGATCAATTGGTGGGAGGGGAGTTTAACTAAAGGCACGCCGCCTTGCATCCCACGCCCACAGCAGTGCACCGGGCTGCCTGCATGGGGATGGTGGGCTGGGGAAAATGGTATTGGAAGATGCAAGGTAAGAGTCGACGGGAAAACCGAGATGCAATGACAGCCTAACTGCCATCTGCTCGCCAGGGTTTGAGCGGTCTGTTGGGGAATGGTGTAGCCATCATCTTACTAGCAGGGTAGGAGGCACAGAACACCGCAGGCGACAGCGTTCCGCTCTCGGCCCGGTTGTGGTCCGGACGTTTGATGCGAATGTCGAATCTTTCGTACAGCAAGACACGGCCCGTGGTGAGGGTCTTGTTCCTCGCATCCTGAAGCTTCTTTCGAAGGTGCCTAGGCCGAGCAGTTTCGTTCTCCATGACGAGGCGCAGGTTAGCCACTCCCTCAGGATCTGTGATGTTTAGAGCCGTGCAAAGGGCGGTGATGTTGGTGTCACGCGGCGTCCAATACTCCAGGTCCACATCCGAAGTTTCGAAGTAAAGGATCTCCACAGCTCGAGTCGCGGCCCCCTGACACGGGAACATGGGGGGTGATAGGTGGTTAGAGGGATTACTTGGGGGATAACAACGCACTGGCAGCAGAAATGGCGCATGTAATAACCTGCAAATGGGCGGTCTGACATGGGTATGGAGTCAATGGTGGGTCCCAATGGGTGAAAACAGCACTAGAAGTCCGTTGCCTGCGTCAAGGACCATACAAACGGTATGGCAGTAGGATGTCATGCACTGGGTGGGGAGTGGGACATGGTTGGGACATTACCTTGAACCCATTGTGGATATCTGGCATGCTGGCCAACGCGTCAGCGTACCGATGCGCCCACGTCCGCTGCATGCTCGACAGTTGCTGCAAGTCCAAAATAGTTCCCCGGCTGTGGGCCGTCCTGACCGCATTTATGATAGCCACCCGATTCGGTTCCACGAGTAGAGTTGTCGGGAACGACGCCTGGAGCGTGTTTCCTGCCACGCCATTAGGAGTAGGCGCGCTCGGACCAGCCGCTGCAGCACCACTACCAGCCGCTGCAGCACCACTTCCAGCCGCTGTAGCACCAGGACCAGCCGCTCCCATACCGTGAGCATCAGCATCACCTAAGGAGTTGCCAGGGTTGCTCGCTTCGTCCGGAGCGTCTTCACTGGTATGGTTAGCAACACCGTGCGACAGGCGACGGTTCTCATTTTTCAGCTTCCATAAGGCGGCGGCGCAGCTCACGTGCCTCAGCCTGAGCAGCATCGAACTCTTCCCGGGAGATAAGGTCCACTCCTTGTCCCGCTTCCTCATCGGCATCACTATACTCATCTAGCCCCTCGTAACCAGGCTCAGGTACCTGAGGTTCCATCTCCGGAAAAGCTTCAGGGTCTAGGGGCTGCATGTAGTCAGTCGGGGCGCCATCATCCCCATGCCCAGTAGAAGGGATATGCAGACCCTCGGGTTGCATCGGTGCCTGCTGTTGTTGCTGCTGCTGCACATGCGGCGAAGATGGCACATCCGCGGGCAGCTGCTGCTGCTGCTGCCCATACGGTGAGGCATGCAGATCCGTGGCGGTCTGCTGCTGCTGCTGCTGCCCATACGGTGAGGCATGCAGATCCGTGGCGGGCTGCTGCTGCTGCTCCTGCAGTCCATTAGTCGAGGTTTGCAGACCCGTGGTGGTCTGCAACTGCTGCTGCTGATGTCCAATGGTTGGGGTGACGCGAGAAGAGTTGGGCAGCTGCTGCAGCTGCAGTCCAGTGGTTGGCGTGGCACGAGGAGAGTTCCGCAGCTGCTGCTGCTGCTGCTGCTGCTGCTGCTGACCAGTGGTGGTCTGCAGCTACTGCTGCTGCTGCTGTCCAATGGTTGGGGTGACGCGAGCAGAGTTCCGCTGCTCCTGCTGCTGCTGTCTAGATGTTGGCGTGGCGCGAGCAGAGTTGGCCCGCAGCTGCTGTTGATTCGAGCCTCTGCGAACCGTCGTGCGGCAAGGACCCGTCCGGCGGCCCCCAGTCGTCCCAGTTGTACTCGCCGGGTTGTGAAGTCCTCCCATGGACAGCTGGTTGAGTGGAAGGGTTCTCTCGCCTGCACATCATCAAAACACACATGCTTAGTATCCAGCACCGTAGGCTATTGACGTACAACAAACCAAACTCTCGCGGAAATCAGCTTACAAGTACTAAGTGAAACGTCTTGGATAGTGCTTACCATTGCTGGTTGTTGTCGCCGCCGTTGCCTGCACAGATTCTTCACGATCCCCTTCTCCTAGAGCACGAACTGAGGCCAACACGGATGAGTACCGGTTATTTGTCCCTCTACCAGGTCTATCAAACCGGCGCGCTTCGGCTGTATCCATGGTCGATCTAACACGACATCTAAAACGGTAAGAAACATACTATCAGTATGTTTCAACGTGTCTTTTATAGTCGCCAAGCCATCACCAGCAATGTATCTATCCGTCGCCAGGTTTGCGGACGCACCGCTCATAAGCTCGAGTGGTTCTCTGCGGTTCTCAAAGCGCTCGTGCTGCTGCGTGCTAACCTTCGAATTTCGAACTTTGAAAACGGGTCATCTCAGCTCTCAGGCCCTCTACGGTTGTGTCAAGCTTGAGATACGTGCGTGGGTAAATCGGCGACCGCACGAGATACGAGCAGATGCGACGAGGGTGTCGTTGATACGGAGGTAAAAACGATGGTCCAGGTTCTTACCTGTAGAGCCCTCGAGATAATGTCGCAAGCGGGGAAATTGTTACACCAGCCTGCTTGTGATTGGCGAGAAACAAGCGCAGCGCAGGGTCGATTTGCAGTCCAGTTACAGAAACGGGCTGGTATCTCGTGTCGCAAGTTCATCCCCACCGAACAAGCATGATAGATACAATGGCGCGGAAGCAGGGGAGGGTCACGACGTGTGCCAGCTGGACAGGTTCTCAGTCAGCCGACCAGTAGCTGGGGGGAACGACGACGGCGGTCGCTACCACGGGCAAGAGGGAGCGACGCTGTATGGTCAGGGCATGCTTGCGTGACGCTTGTATCGCGGGGCATCGGCGCGGGGAGCCCACGCCAGCTGGCTCCCCCGCCCAGATAACGCTATGGGCTCGTGTGTCTGGCAAGGCGTCGCGGGTTTCATTTCCTACCCTAGTCAGCACAGGAAGAGTCGGGTTTCTTCCAGCAGAGGGAGTTGGAGGAACTCGATGGGCTGCAACAATTAGACACACGAGTGTCGCGCGGATTGAGGCAAGGTGCCTAGATTTCGTTTTAACATAACAGTGGTTAAAATCTGATCTTTAAGAGTTAAAAACACTTGACAACATATCAAATAGGTGTTAAGGGTACCAGTTCAATCACGATTTCAGGTAAAGGTATGCGCATACGCATCAACACAAACAATAGGATTATGAGGTTGGTCACATAAAGTCGAAATTTGGTTACCTATTGTGTGACCAGCATCGTAGTTTCAATTGGGCTGAACGCCCTAGGATCTTTGGTAGAGTTAAAGTCTGAGTAAACGATGTGGTAGCGGAAGCGTTTTTGAGTAAAGTCCTTGAACCACCTTGCGCTGGTATGTGAGGGCAAAATAAGTTGATTAAAGCAAAGAGATACAAGAGTATATATATGAATACAGAGAATATGAAGAGACGTAATTGTAACTACTTTACTGTTGCGGTTCGATACAGTGCGACTCGGGCAACTGCTCAATGTCGAGTCAGTTGTGTCTCCTTGCTGTCGCGATGCATTAGGTCAAAGGTCGCTGACCTTTGACTTTCGCGTAACCTCCAGCGGTTACATCAACCTCCGAGAGTTGACTCGCTGGTGCTTCGATTTGCGCTGCTTCGCTATGCACTGCTTCGCTTGTGTCTTGGAGTTTTGACACGACAGAGGCGCTTAAGACTATTTGTTCCCAACACTCCCCTTCGCTTCTGGAGTGTCGCTGATGGTGACGTGGCTTTGTCCAGTCAGCAACATGCAGTAATCGAACTTCTGTTTTCCGAGCTTCTTGGTCAAGTAGTCAGCTGCCATCTCGGACGTGGGACAGAAGGATAGTTCGAGTTTCCCCTTCTCGATCTCGTCTTTCACGAAGAAACATCGCAGTGCGATATGCATCGTTCTGCTCGCGAATCCGCTTTTGTTGGCGATGCGAATCGCAGATTGGTTGTCGCAGAACAGAGTAAAGTTGGGTAACTCGGCTAACTTCGCTTCTTGCAGCAACTCGCGAAGATAGAGTCCTTCCTTGGTGGCTGAGTAGTGTGCGACATATTCTGCTTCAGCTGATAAGAGAGTGATTAGTTCCTGCTTGCTTGATTGCCAGGAGATTTTCTTTGTTTTCTTGGAATGGACGTCGAAGATTTTCCACGCGTTGTAGTTCTTTTCACTGCCGAGGTGTAGTCCCCACTGTGCGCGTTGTGAAAATCTTCCCGCTCGTACTTCTGGGGGTCGGTACTGTACCATGCACCCGAAAACTCGTATCATTTTTGTGCTGCCCTGTTTCCCTGTTAAAACAGATGCGTTGATGCATTGTTCGGAAGTGAAGACGACGACCTCAAGTTGTGCAGCATGACAGCGTGGTCCATTGCTGCAGGCCACTGGTGGTTGGGTAGTCGCATGCCACGTAACAGTTTGCGCATGCTGTTCTGCAGGGTCCTGTTCATTCTTTCTGCGACACCTTGCTGCTGATGGGCGTAGGGAAGGTAGAGGAGCTGCTTGATTCCTCTTTCTGCCAGGTACTGCTTGAACCGCTGAGAGGTGTATTCTCCCCCTCCGTCTGACTGGAAGCTTTTCAGTTGTGCTCCCGACTCTCTCTCTGCTACTGGTAGCCTGGCAGCGAAGGCTGCGAGTGCCATGTCGCGGCTGGGTAGGTTTAGGTGCCAGACGTATCGAGTGGCGGCGTCGATGAAGATGATCGTGTAGTTATATGTAACTTTTCCTGGTTCTCGATTGAAGAGGATATCGCTGTACACTTTCTCAAGTGGTGCGTACGCGGGTGCGCTCAGGTTGTGATGAGGAGTGAACGGTCGGTGTGGTAAGGCGGCTTCGGGGCAGGTAAGGCAAGTTCCTCGTGCCCGTTGAAATTATCTGCCATCGGGTAGTAGTAATGAGTCCTTGTCAAGGACTCCTGCTCTTATTGTGTTGTTTAACACAGTGTTGCTTGGATGTCCCATGCGTGCGTGCCAGATGTCTTCGGAGGCGCGGTGTCCGGGAGAGCGTCGATACGCGTCGGAGTTGGAGTAGAAGCTGGTGACGAAGTTTGCGCTTCTGTGGACTTGTCGTTGAGTTGGATTCAGCTGCTGTGCGGGTGTTGGTGGTGCTTCGTCAACGAGGACTGGTGTCGTTGTTCCTGCTGCTGCTGACGATGTTTTTGCTGCTGCCGATGTTGTCTCTGCTGCTGCCGATGTTGTTTCTGCTGCTGCCGATGTTGTCTCTACTGCTGCCGATGTTGTTTCTGCTGCTGCTGAATGTTGTATTGTTACTAACGCACGCGTTCGTTCTGCTTCAGGGATGGTATGTGAATACCATAAGCCTTCCGGACTGAAGTCGGGGTCGAGATCCGGAGGATGTGTCCAGTCGGTGAAGTTCACGATGGCGTCGCTATCGGCAGTGCCAAGATCGGAACGAAGTCAAGAACGAAGACGTTGTTCTTGAGGATCGCCCTACCGATGTAGAGTCCTCCTCTCCCGTGGTACAGCTTGAATTCTTGGGTGGTACTGTCTGCTTCGAGATGAATACCCTTCGACATCTACTGGCTGACGCTCAGTAGGTTGTAGCCGAGTCCTTCTGCTATTAGGACTTTTGACATTTGCAGTACGACATTCGTATCCCGTGACTGAAGTTGCACTATGCCTTTTCGTCTTGTGCGCAGGTTCTGATTATTGGCGACAGTGATGACGACTTCTCGTTGGAGTTGGTGCTCGCATTGAAAGAAACGTCCTGAGGAGCACATGTAATGTCCGCAGCAACTGTCCAAGAACCAAGTGTCCTTCCCGGACGGCTCTCTTTGGGCGATGGCGGCGTACGTCGGGTTTGGTTGAAGTGACTCGCGGCGAGGCGTGCTGTTGTTGAGTTGTTCTTCTGGTGAGTAGTATGGTGGTGACTCGGTTGTGCATGAGTCATTCAATCTTGCCATGCAGCTGACGATATTTCTTGTTTCTTTTGCAGGTTGTCTTGTTGGAGTTGTTGAGACTTGGACTGAAGTTGTCGGGTTTGCTTGCGTTGAAGTGACTTGGCTGCTTAAAGGACGAAGTTGGCGTTGTCGATTTGGGCAGTGTGCGCGAGGATGCCCTAAAGTTTTGCATATGTGGCAAAACGGAGGTACCGGCTTCAATTGTTGCTGCCGATTGTTGATGTTGTTGTAGCGTCGCTGGGTGTGAAACGCAAACTCTGGTGGTGACGTCTTTTTTTTATGTCGTTCTTCTTGCAGGTCCATGTCTTGCTGCTCGGCATGGATTTCGGCGCAGAGTGCTGCTTTGGAGATTCTCCCGTG